GGCCGCCTGCGGCTGAGCCCGGCACTGCGCCCTCGGCACCCCCACACACACACACCCCCACACCCCCCGCCAAAAGCGGCAGGGTCAGGCAGCACAGGCCTTATGTGTTCTTAACAGAGTTTTCGTATTGGTAATATTTGTCATTTTATATTGTGAGTAATAACTGTCAGGAGCTCCTTTGTGTAGTTGTGTGATTGTGTGTGTGTGAGACGCGGCCGCTGCAGCTGCGGAGTTCTCCGGCCAGGGGAGCGGCCGGCGAGGAACTACAGAGTCCTAGTGCCCGCCCGCTGGGCCATCGGTGCGGCGGTTGGTTTGGGCTCAGGGTTATAACTGTTACAGGTAAAATACCTCCTCTAACGGGAGGCGGTAATTCTGTGTTGATTGTTGTTTGAATTTAGGTGCATACTCTGCGGGGAGAGGGCACCTCTGAACCATCTGCCTAATGGAAATATTGTTTAAAAGAAAAAAAAATAGAAAAAAGAAAAAAAAATCTTCAACCTTATGGGGTTGTTTGTTTTACCAGGGGTTGTAGATGCTGATTATGCAGAGAAAAAACAAAATTATGGTCTGTACCCCTGTGTTCAGTAACAAAAGGATCAAAAAATTATTCAGCTTGTTAATTTTACTGCGGCTTTCTTTAATGTTATGCCAAGAAGCCGCAATTACTCAGGATTTGGTTCAGCAGGTACCCCTTAAATACTTTTGGACTTAAACGTGACACAAGGTTAACTTCTGGTAAAATGTACTCTCGTTAAAGCTAAAAAATCTGCTGAGCTGACAGGCATTTTAGATACTGGTGCAGATGTGACCAGAATATCTGTGAGCAGATTGGCTCTTAGCTCCGGTACCTCAGATGCTTTTCAGGGTTGGTGTCATGCTGTAACAATTTAAAGCGAGGATTTCATTCATGTAACAGGCCCAGAAAAACTGGGTAACAAATATTCATCCATTTATATTGGAAAGCCTCTATTGCATTTTGGGGTTGTAACTGATGGGGAACTCAAATTGGATCAAATTTGTCTTGATCACCGCTGCAGCATAACCCACCCTGAAACCCACCCTGACACTTGTAAACCGAATCACCTGTGTGTGTTGTCCTGCAACAACTTAAAACTGTTATTAACACTTTAAAAGATTTACAGACACTGTTAGGAACCATAAATTAGATACAGCTGTCGTGGGCCTAACTCATGATGATCTGCATAGCTTGTTTGGTGTTTTGTGAAAAGATCCTTCACTGACATCACCCAAAGTACTTGCAGAGAAAGCAAAACAAGATCTTCACCGTATCGCTAACAAGCATCGGCAGTATACTGCATTCCCCACGGGACAAGCTATCATAGAAAGAACACGCTAAACCTTGAAAGTGCTTTTGCAAAAACAAAAGGGGGGAGAGATCTTGGCTCCAGGTCAGCCATTCGCTCTGCTGTAAAACGCATGCATTTTTTTCCACCAGAATGCCAGGGCAATACAAAACCAGGTTTCTTTATCAAGGCATCCAGCTAAAGACATCACTGCAACTCGCCCTGAATACCAGACAGACTCCATCTCTTCAGCAGGGAAGTGGTGTCAACTCTTGGGGACTCATCTCCTCAGAATTATAGCAATCTGTTGTCACTCACTTAGCTGCATTTCACATATTAAAATATGTACATGTGTCTGTTAATACCTTTTCTGTAGCACTGTTTGCATCCTGTCATGCAGTGGGGAGTCAAGCATCTAACCTGCATTCCCCATTCACCGGCCGGTCAGGCCACTGTGCAGCATACATCTAGCAAGCTAAAGCGTCTATTACAACAACAACAACAACAACAAAGGGGCAAGATGCAAGATATCAATCTACACCTCACAAAAGGCTAAATAAGGCATTACATGTCATGAACATTTTAAACATTTCCCCTGTCTCACAGATGCCACCAGTATTGTGTCATTTTTCATCATAGATACCAGATCAGCAAGAAGTCCAAAGTAAAGCTCAAGTGTTAACAAAAACTTAAAAAGGGGTAACCGGGAAGGACTATTTCTTTAATAACCTGGGGAAGAGATTATGCTTGTGTCTCCACAGGTCTCAGTCTCCAATGGTCACCAGCAAAGGTGTGTGCAACCACACCTGAGGCGTGAGAGGCAGCCAGCACTCAGGATCCAGCTGTGGGTGCTGTGGGTGCCCCTGTGCTGACAGTTTGTGATCTCTTAGACTGATCGTTCAAGCAGAATGTCTGAGTGATGTTTGCTACTGCAACAGAATAAACCACACTACAGTTGCCAATTCTTTTAAGAGAAAATGCGGACAGTAATTGTAACTTCTTAATGAAATATATAAGCTTACTAGTCACTTACGCAATATGTCTTTAGATAAAATATAGTTATTAATAAGGATAAGATGCTGTAAGAATGTGTGTATTCAACTTTGTTTAGTAATATTAAGAATTAAGAGCTCAAGTATTTAACCTCATTTAGAAACTCCCTTGGTTTTCCCCCTGGAGTACTGGCCAGGCTCCAGGTGGAACCCAACAGGAGGATGAAATCAGATGTTTCCGCTCAAAGAAAGTTGCCAGTTATTTTGGCCTGTTGCTTTAAGGGCTGGACCTGGTTGCAGCGACGTTGGATGCCTCACCTACGGATGGACGCGTCACGTAGGGTTTCCAGTTTGTGAGGAAGGGCACTCTGAATTCTCGCTGTATCCAGGGTTCCCTAGCAATTGCGGATCTGAATGTTAGTACTTCTATTAATTGTGTGCTATTCCATATTTTCCTCACTGTTTATTTTGTAGTATTTACTCATATCCTTTGAATATAGGTAATATGGGATGCTTTGTACTTAATAGGGTACCTTTAAGAGTTTATTGCGGTGATTTGGAATAGTATTATTGATTATAGTAAGTATTACAATAGCATATAGTTGTATAATGAGAAATATTAGTGAATTTGTGCTTGTGCAGCCTGCGCAAAAAGAAAAAGGGGGAATTGTTGGAGAACGGCTTGCAGAGAGCAAGGCCATAGCTCCCTGCAGGAGCTGGTCGGCCATAGCTCCCTGCAGAAGTCGGTCACAGCCACCTGAGGTAAACAGAGGAAAAAACCCAGGGTACAGTTATACTAATAAGGATGGAGATTCAGGGCTCAGCAGTGCTAGCAGAGACTGTTGTGAGAACAAGGAGATAAGTTGGGGCGCATTATGACCTTGGGGGTGAGAGGAAGGCAGCCCTGAGAGGGAAGCAGGTTCACATCAAGAAAGATGTTTATGCGTACCAGAAATGCCACAAGGGGCTGGGGTATTGTGTGACCTTTTAGATGCACCCAGTGGCTGAGATATTATAGTGTAGCTTTTTTAATGTGTCCAATAGAGTTGCGAGTAGAGTATTGTAGAGTGCTTATCTAAGGTGTGATGTCTTTCCATAAAGTTGAAGCTTGCTCTATCACTCACACCGAACCGGCTGGCTGCTTCCGCAGCTCGTGATGGAGCTGCCGGGCCTGGGCCCTCCCCTCCCCTCCCCTTAGCCCCGCCCCCGG